ATTTTGAGAAAAGAGAGAGAGAGAGAAAAAATCATTCTCGCTTTCACTCGGCAGTTTGCTGTCTTTTCTCATTACTGTCCAGACAGATTTTAATTATAATAATAAAATAATATTAAATTATAATATTATAATTATTATTATTATTTTAATTCCCTTGCTTGTTTGACGGAAACCCACCTTGAATTACGCCAAATATCCGATGCCCCAACACCAAACGTGCATCTCAATTCTTCCCAACATAAAAAAAACAGACAGGGATTAAGATGAGATTAAATTAGTAAATCTCCACAGATCACTTCGAGCTCAAACACTTCTATAAGGTTCACGAGCTGTGCATTAAGTGACCTGTGCCTTTGCCTTGCCTGCCCGACCCCTGGAACTTCACTGCCGTGAGATCGGGTCAGAAGCCAACGAGAGGCGATGACGGTTCATGTTCCAGTGAATCCTAGAGAGTGTCCGTCCGGGAGATCAGGAGGTGACACAGCCACGTAGATACCCGTAGCGCAGGGGTTAGACCCCTCGCCTCGCAAGCCAGAGAGCCCGGGTTCCATTCCCGGTCGGGTCAGGTCTGAACCTTAGGCGAGTTTCCTTACCCCCCCCCCACAACACCCCCCCACACAGACACACACACACGCGCCTGTGTCCCCGGCAGTCAGTAGGAACCCGCTTGTCAGTCGATTGGGGATCACTTTCTGGGGGCAATAATCCCTTCAACAAAAACATGATTTGGTCACTTCAACCCCCGGCTGTTTGTGGGGACGTCGATGGGTGCAATCGGCTGCCGCGTTCTGCCCACAGATCACACAGTCACTACACTTTACAGTGTTCCGCTAAAACACACAGTTTTTTTTGCCTTTCGGACGTTGTTTTACGAAATGGACAGAAAACTGTGGGTCTGATCCTAAAGTGCCTGACACCAGACACTCTCTTACTGTGGGTAAGACACGGGCATAGATACAGAATGGACTGGTCAGCAACATAGCCCCCTCCCTCCGTCTCCCCTTCCCCCCACATCCCCCCCTTCACCCTCCTCCCCCCCCTCCCCCCCCACCTCCGATACCCTCTCGAGAATCACAGCAAGAGACGTCTCTGCTCTTCATTACAGCTTTATAGAATAATAATAATAATCTGGTCACTCAATCCTCCCGCGACTGTTTGTGGGGACGTCGTTGGGCGCAATTGGCTGTCGCGTTTGGCCCCCAAAGTATGCAGTCACTAAACTTTACAGTGCATCCTGTGAAGCGCTTTGAGACGTCTTGAAGACGTGATGAGGAGCTGTTATCAAACACCAGGATTATTATTATTATTATTATTATTTATATTATTTTGTATCTGGTTTTGTGTCTTGTCCACAAACCAAATGGTCACCTACACTTGACAATAGTTGCTCTTTGCTCATGAAGAGCTGAGAGACATTGGGAGACGTGTTGAGATGCTGCAGAGACTCGAGGGTTTTCCTGATGACTGTATGTGCGCGAGGGAGGGGAGGGGGGGGGCGGGGGGGAAAGTTTAAACGTTTAAATGTTCATGATTTTGTTTCAAAGGTTTATTTTAAAACACCAAAAGATTGGAGTAAAGATACACTCACATCACACACACACACACACCCCACACACACGGATGGTTCTATTCCTTGCTGTTGTTTAAGAAAAACAAACAAGACATTGTTCTGATGGGATAGAAACGTTGTCAGGTCCCGGAATCTTTTATTTTATTCACTGTCTCGTCCCCAACCAAAGAAGCTGTAGCTGTCGGGAGGGGTTTCAGAAGCAGCTCAACACCGAGGTTACTTATTCAGCCTCTTACTTTAAAATGGTGAAAATTGCTTAAATAAGCCGCAACCCAGAAGATGGTTCTCTGACACCTTCCCCCCCCACACACTCTCTGCACCCCCCCCCCACACACACACACTCTCTGCACCCCTCACACACACACATACATCCCCTCCCTCTACACCCCATGTCCACCTCCCACACGGCCTTCATTCCCAGGGAAATAATCCCTTTTTAAAAAATTATAATAATAATTTGGTCATAATTTGGGGACGTCTCCGGGCGCAATTGGCTGCCGCGTTTTGCCCACAAAACACACACTTTACATTGTATCCTGTGAAGCGCTTTAAGACGTCTTGACGATGTGATAAGGCGCTGGGTCAAAGGCCAGGATTATTATTATTATTAATTATAAAATCACTTCCAGTTTGAGGCTGAACCTGAGGGAATCTCCACCATTTCTGACCCGGCAAAGGTTCCTGGTTCTCAGGCTGAGGCCAAATGGATTCTCTGATCCCACAATCACTTCTGACAACTGACCAGGTCCAGGTTTGGGGTGAGACCCGGAGTGAGAGAGTGCTTTAAAGCAACTGACGAAAGGTGTTGGTTTTAGCCACAAATCCTGAGCCTCTGGTCTGTGGGTTGTGTGACCGTCAGTCAGTCAGTCAGTGTCTGCTGTCACCCTAGTGAAGAGTCTGTGCGCGCGGGTGTGCGTGTGTGAGTGCGTGTGTGTGTGTGTGTGTGTGTGCACATGTATGTGTGTGCGCGCGCGCGCGGCTGATGATGTGCAGGGAATGTGTTTATTCGCAATGATCAGATGTAACACGACTTTGCATGTTGAGTTGAAAACCTGACTGTTTCGGGCCAAAGCCGAGGGAACCCGGCCATCAATTCGGACGTCCAAGTTTATTGTATTTTTCAAACTCTTTGCATTATAAACACCAGTAAAAAAAAACCTATGTATTTCCCATCCCACCCGCCTCGTCTCTGTTTGTTCAGGGTATTGTCACAAGGACTGCGTGTGTCTGTCGTGGGTGTGTGTGCGTGTATGTGCGTGTGGGCGAGTGTATGTGTGGGTGTGTGGATGTGTGTGTCTGTGGGTGTGTGTGTGCGTGTATACAGGCTCCAGGGGCTGAATGGCCTCCTCCTGTTCCTATGCTTACACGACTCAGTCGGAGTGTTAGGTGTGTGTTACACAGCACGTGCCGGACCCCGAGGGCACCACAAGAGGGCAGTGTTCACTCACCACTGACTGGTCTGTGAGGAGTGGGGAGAGAGAGCGTCAACTGGAGCCGCTGCTCACAGCCCCCCCCACCCCCACCCCCCCACCCCCCCTCCCCCCACCCCCACCCCCCCCACCCCACAACTCAGTCCTGACGTGGGGTTTGAACCCACAAACCTCTGGGTTTGGTTACACAGTAAACCCGAGGACCAGGGATTGAAGTGGAATCAGAGATGGACTCTGACCGGGTGTGACTCGGGCCGACCAGTGGCGAGTGAAGTCCAATACAGGCAACAACAACAACAACTTGGGTTTATAGAGCGCCCTCCACGCCGGACGGCGTCTCAGAGAGCTTCACAGTAACGGATCCTGGGCCGGGGGGTGGGGGGGGTGGGGAGGAAAAGAAAGGTCTTCAGCAGAGACCGATTGAGACCAAATACACGATTGAACGGGAGAGACCCGGGCGGGGGGTGGGGGGGTCTTGGGGGTAAATATGGCAGTTTCCACTGAGCCGAGAGTCGGTAACAAAAGGCCTCTCCCAGAGTTCAGAGACGAAAAGGGCTTTGTTTGGCTTGTTCTGTTGCTGGAAGATTTTAAGAGATCAAATGGGGTTTTCAAATGCTGACTCTTAACACAATAATAATCGTCGCGTTTGGCACAGCACCTCATCACCTCGTCACCTCATCGCGACGTCTCAAAGCGCTTCACAGCTGATACTGTAAAGTGTAGTGACTGCGTGTTTCTGAGGGCGGAACGCATTCGCGCCCAGTGACGTCCCCACAACCGGTGGATTGCGTTGACCACTTTATTATTATTTTAAGGCATTTATTCCGGTGATTTCTTTGGGAAAGCACCAGTCACAGAAAAGAACGTGGGACAATTTCTGTTAAAATAAATTTTATTTTGTCCTCAAATATATAAATTTCAGAATTGATACTTAATTTACATCCACTATATTACAAATCGATATCCAAAATAAAAATAAAAATATGCTACGTTCGATAACAGCAACAACAAGAACAACAACAACAAATTACATTAGTTATAGCGCCTTTCACGTCAGGAGGACGTCAATAGATTGATAAATAATCAATAACATATTAATCAATAACAGGAATGAGTGCAGACACACAGACACACACACACACAATACACACACACATATGTTGGTGGGATGTGGGGAATTCTCAATTGGGTTTTGAGACTCTTAAGCAACGGTGATGGTTTTCCGTGCGTGTCAGAGTCCCACCCACCCACCCACCCCCCGCCTCAAAAAAAACATACACAACAACAACAACTGACATTTACGAAGGACCCCTCAGTGAGGATATACGACAGGAAACACTGAACACATTCATTGGAACACGGCTCGAGGCAATAAGTTACAGCACTTACAGCTCCTGAAACGAAGCCAACGATAAGGTGAGCTCCAACATATGGAGCTGTGCAGCTCTGGGTGTGTGGGGAGGGGGGGGAGCGCTGGAGAGAAGCTTAGCTGCCACTCGGTCAGAGCCCCCAGTATGTCAGTAATAATAACAACAATAATAATAATTCTCGCCTTTGACCCAGCGCCTCAAAGTGCTTCACAGACTATACTGTAAAGTGTAGTGACTGTATGTTTTGTGGGCGAAACACGGCAGTAAATCGGGCACAGCAGCGTCTGTCCCACAAACAGTCGAGGCTGGATTGAGCGACAAAATTATTATTATTTTTTAGTTTATGTTCATGGGATTATTATTATTATTACCCCCAGAAAAGCGATCCGCCAATTGACTAGCAAGCGGGTTCCTACTTACTGCGAGGTGTGTGTATCTGTATGTGTGTGATGTGTGTGTGTGGGTGTCTGTGTGTGTGTGTCTGTGTGTGTGTGTCCGTGTGTGTTGAAGGTGGGGTGGGGGGGTGGTAAGGAAACTTGCCTTAGGTTTCGCCCTGACCTGGCCACCCGGGAATCGAACCCGGGTCCTCTGGTTTGCGAGGCGAGGGGTCTAACCCCTGAGCTACAGGGACTGTGGCTGTAGCTGTGGCTGCGGCCTCTCTCTCTCTCCTCTGTGTGACGGGAGCTCAGTGTCGGGAGCTACGGCTGTGTGCGGGGAGCGAGACCTCGTTGAGGTTGGCTGGGGGGCAGCGCCGACCACATCGACAGGTCTGGACCATCGTGACGTCCCTGGTGAAGCTGTGCCCGTTTCGGCAGCGGAAACGGACGGGCACTGCCCGGGAGTGCAGTGGGGAACGACACTGCCCACATCTCAGAGGCTGGTATCGTCTCACACTCCGACACCCGGCGTGGGTCAGACGCACGGGTTCCCCCACCTTGTGTGGCCGCCAACACTTCTTCCCTTTCTGTACAGAGAAAGAGAGAGAGATAGAGGGGGGGGGGAGGGGGTTAATAATATTATAATAAAAATACTATGATAATATAATAATATAAATAATAATATAATATAAATGATAATACATAATAATATAAATAATATAAATGGTAATACTATAATAATATAAATAATATTACTATAATATAATAGTATAAATAATAATATAATATAAATGATAATAATACTATAATAGAAATAATATTACTATGATAATATAACAATAGAAATAATAATATATAATAGAAATAATAATATATAATAAAAATAATAATAATAATCCTTGTATTTTATACAGAGCCTCATCCCTCGCCTGACAACCTCATTTGGCCCACAAAATACACAGTCACTTCACTTTACAGCATTTTAATAATAATAATAATAATCCTCACATTTGATACAGCGATTTATCACGTCTCAAAGCGCTTCACAGGACACAGTGTAAAGTGAAGTAACTGTACAGTTTGTGGACAAAATGCGGCAGCCAATTGCGACCAGCGACGTCCCCACAAACAGCCGTGGACTGAGCGACCATATTATTATTATTATTATCATTGTTATTCGATGGCTGGCACAGTGGGGAACGTACCTTGAGCCGGGGGGCTTGGCTCTGCCCACAGCCCCTTTCCTGGCATGGACGTGTTTCCAGGCGAGGCTCACAGCTGGGGCCATCACTGCTGGTTCTTGTGGAGATGCCCCATCCACATGTGCGGGAACACGGAGACCACGGGGTGGTGGGCACCGCACACTTAGTGTGTACCGGGCGTCTCCAGGCTGAGAGAGAGAGGGGGGTAGAGAGAGGATTAATATCACAGGCAGATAACGTGGAGCAAACATCATCATAATAATAATAGCAACAATAATAATAATCCTGGCGTTTGGCTCAGCGCCTTATCACGGCTTCGAGACATTTCAAAGTGCTTCACAGGGACACACTGTCAGATGTAGTGACTTACCAGCCAGAGTCTTCAGTGCGTGAGCTTTGCCTTGAAAGAGTTTGTTGCTGCTGATAGAGATGGCATCATCCCAGCTGGCGAGGTTGGCCAGGTTGGCAAAGTTGGCCAGGTTGGCGAGGTTGGAGAGGTCGCTGAGGGTCGCGAGGCCCAGTTTGGATGTGACCTTGTCACAGATGAAGGTCTGACAGCATTGCCCTGGCACCTTGACCAGCCGGGGGTTGGGGCAGTCGGCCCTGGCGAGGGGCAGCTCCTGAGGGCACAAGGGCACACAGCCCACAGCCCCGTCCAGGCACGTGCACTGGTGCTTACAGCTGGGCTGGAAATTCTCCCCGTTCTGGTAGATCTTCCCATTGTACTCGCAAGTCCTACCCTCGGACTTCGCTACAGAGAGACACAGAGAGCGGGTTAGACACATACACGCACACGGCAACAGAGCAACACCACACCAAACACAACACACAGCGCAGAGCAACAGAGCAACACACTGTACACAACACAGAACACAACAGAGAACACAACACACAGCAACAGACACAGCAAACACAACACCAAACACAACACACACACCAAACACAACACCAAACACAACACACGGTGCAGAGCAACACACGTCAGTGTGTTAGACACACACACACAGCATGAAGCAACAACAAGTTGCATGTGTATAGCCGGCGTCCCCTCACACAGGGTAGCGCCTCAGGGGTTGAGGTGGCTGGAGGTTTGTTAACTTGGGGAATCAAAGGAAAATGGAGCCACAAAACACACAGTCACTGCACTTTACAGTGTATCCTGTAATTGGAGTTCAGGTACAGATTAACCGTGGTCTAATAGGATGGTGGAACAGACTTGAGGGGCTGAATGGCCTCCTCCTGTGTCCCCCATGTTCGTGGAACCCAGCACAGAGCACAGAGCACATAGTAGTCAGTGTGAGGAACCACAAACTCCCCTCCTCGCTCAGCTCCTGGACTCGGGCCCATCCGCAGGATGTGGCAGCAAATATTTCACATTCCTAACAGTCGCTGGAGTTACAAGAGTTTCTCTCTAACCTTCCCTTTCATTCCGTTTTGTGGTCACAGTGAGGCCTGTTATAGCACTGCAGCCGTAAACATCCTCACGTGACACACACACGCACACACATGCAACAGACAGGCGAACATACAGACACACACACACAGTCACACACAGTCACACAGTCAGTCACACAGACACTGACAGTCTAACACAGAGACTGACTGACAACAACAACCACAACAACAAATTTGTATAGTCTCACACACATACAGTCAGCGACAGACAGACAGACACACAGACACAGTCAGTCTCACACACACACACAGTCAGTGACACAAACATAGACACACACAGACACACATACAGTCAGTGATACACAGACAGACACAGATGCGTTGGGTGTAACTTAAGACAAAAGTAACCCAACTTCAAAATAGCTAACACTCAGAGCAGTGGGTCTGACGGTAAATAACAAACATACTTTAAAGTCTTATATATATATATATAGATCCTGTATATATAGTTCCCCCCCAAACCCTCTCACCCTCATCACCATTATAGTCAATTACGCCCACAAATACACAGTCACTACACTTTACAGTGTATCCTGTGAAGCGCTTTGAGACGTGTTGAAGACCTGATAAGATTCTGTATCAAACGCGAGGATTATTATTATTATTATCTAAAATAATTTGACCCAACGCCCCATCACTTCTTCCAGGCGTCTCAAAGCGCTTCACAGGACACACTGTAGACACCCGTGGGTTGAAGTGACCGCATTATTATTATTATTATTATTATTACTATTTTTGGTGACTCACCTCTGCAGATGCCGAGCCCCTCACCAGCCTCGCTCGCCCCCCCCAGGTTACACTCCAGACCCCTGAGAGGATCGCATGGCCGGCCTGGGCTGCAGTCCTCGTTCAGCTGTCTGGCACACACCTTACAGCAGCCACAGCCGTCCAGCACAGTGCTGATCCCGGGCGGGCAGAGAGGGGGCTCCGGGGGGCACACACACTCCGTGGGGCAGCGACTGCTCACCTGGGGAGGGGGGAAGGGGGAACAGGGGTAAATATTCATTGCAATAATAACAATCCTCGCATTCGATACAGCGCCTGATCACGTCGTCGAGATGTCTCAAAGCGCTTCACAGGACACACAGTAAAGTGTAGTGACTGTGTGTGTTTTGTGGGCGAAACGCGGCAGCCGACAGCGCCCCGCGACGTCCCCACAAATACAAATACTCGTAGATTCATGGATTTTAACCTGGATTAAAACCTGCCACATGTCACACACACTGTCTCTCTGTGTCTGTCTCTCTGTCAATCTCTCTCTCAGTCTCTCACTCTGTCTCTCTCAGTCAGTGTCTCAGTCTCTCTGTCTCTCTGAGTCAGTCTGTCTCTCTGTGTCTCAGTCTCTCTTCAATCTCAGTCTGTCTCTCTCAGTCTATCTCTCTGTGTTTCAGTCTCTCACTCAGTCTCAATCTGTGTGTCTCTGTCTCTCTCTGTCTGTCTCTCTGTGTCTCAGTCTCTCACTCAGTCTCAGTCTGTGTCTCTGTCTCTCTCTGTCTGTCTCTCTGTGTCTCAGTCTCTCACTCAGTCTCAGTCTGTCTCTCTCTGTCTCTCTCTCTCTGTCTCTTTCAGTCTGTCTCTCTCTGTCTCTCTCTGTGTCTCAGTCTCTCACTCAGTCTCAGTCTGTATGTCTGTCTCGCTCTCTGTCTCTCACTCAGCCTCAGTCTGTCGGTATCTGTGTGAGTTTCTCACCAGGGTGAAGTGCAGGAGGCAGAGGATGGTAAACTTCAGTGGACTCTCCATTGTGTAACCAACAAGACTTGATCCTTTTCCTTTGGCTTAAAATACAAACTGAGCGGTTGGCCGTGAGTCTGAGCGCAGTCTGTGTGCAGAGAGCTCTGTCTTCCCTATTTATACCGTTCCCCGGACTGTCACTGCCCAATGGGGAAAGGCCAGACATTCCATTCACAAGCCAATTCAATGAATGGGTCATTCATAAAACTGTCTGTGTACTCCCTCTCTCTCTCTCTCTCCTTCCCTCTCTCCCTCCCTCTCTCCCTCTCTCTCTCTCTCCTTCCCTCTCTCCCTCCCTCTCTCTGTCTCTGTCTCTCTCTCTCTCTCGAACACTCTCACACATTCACTCTGTCGCTCACTCGCGCTCTCACTCTGACTCGTTCACCCGCTCTCACTCTCTCGCTCCCTCTGTCTCACTCTCTCTCTCTCACTGTTTCCCACTCTTTCACTCACTCTCTCTCACTCTCAGTCTGTTTGTGGGGACGCTCATTGCTGTGCGCAATTGGCTGCTGCATTTCACCCACAAAACACACAGTCACTACACTTTACAGTATATTCTGGGAAGCGCTTTGGGACGTCTCCAAGACGTGATCAGGCGCTGTGTCAAGTGCCAGGATTATTATGATGATTATTATAGATTCCCAGCTCCGTGCCTCAAGTGATGTGTCAGAAACAATAATAATAATCCTTACATTTACACAGCGCCCGTCACTCACTCCCTCACTCAGGATAGCGCCCAAAAGCGCTTGACAGTGGTGGAGCCGGGGGGGGGGGGGGGGGGAGGTGACCGTAAGCACCATCGGTCGAAGAGGAGGATCTTCAGGCACGACCTGAAGATGGGGATGGAAGGAGGGGGCGAGGGAGAGGGAAGAAGGGGGCGGGGGTGGGAGGGAAGGGGCGAGAGGGAGGGAGGAGACGAGGGGGAGGGAGGGAGGGGGCGAGGGGGAGGGAGGGATAGATTTTTGGGGTGTAGTGGCCTCCGATGATGGAGCGGAGGGACACCGCAGGAGTCTGGAGCCGGTTGAGCGGGGCACGGGGTTGTGGGTGTGAGTGGGTGGGAGAGGTGCCAGTCGATGTCTCCCGATGACATGACCCGCAGAGCGAGATTCCTGGCGTAAGGAATGCTGATGTCACTGCTCAGGCTTCCCGTGGATGGCTGAGCACGTTCCCTGCTTCTCCTGCGGCGTTTTATTTGGGGGAAGATCAGGGAAAAAAGAGGCCTATTATTTGTGAAGCGGATGACTTAATAGATGGCTCTCTGGGGCGGGGGGCGATGGTGGGGGTGGGTTATGTACAAAGCTCTGAGGCCTGTTCTCTCCCTCCCTCCCTCCTTTGCTCTGTCGTGGATTTTCCATTTCCTCTCTCTGCCCATTTTCCTCTCTCTCTATTCTCTAATTCCACAAAAATGTTTCCACGCTCTCCAGATATTACAATACTGTAGTAAAGTACCTCATCCGCAACACGGAAACATCTCAAAGCATTTCACAGGAACATGGAGTGGGGGGAGAATTAGAATCATAGAGTCGTACAGCACAGAAGGAGGCCATTCGGCCCATCGTGTGTTACCCCAAGGCCCTGCAAATCACTGAGAGCAGAGGAGGACAGTATTGAGGGCTGAACACAGTGTGTGAGGTCTTCAATGTCCAGGGCATAAAGATATAGGGACAGGAGGAGGCCATTCAGCCCCTCGAGCCTGTTCCGCCATTCTACAAGATCGTGGCTGATCTCAACTCCAATTACCCGCCTCTACCCCGTATCCCTCGATCGCCTGACACACACCCAGGACGTCTTCTCCGATAACAAACCGCAGATTATTTGTGCGTCTCTATCTCTTTACTCTTTCCCTCCCCTCCTCCTCACGGCTATTTTTCTTCCTTCCCTCATTCCCTGCCCTTTGCCTCAATATGACCTCACGCGGCTCAGTCACTCTCTCTCTCTCTCTCTCTCTAGTTCTCCGTGAAGTACAAGCCGATTAATAACCAATCATTGATGCTCCAGCGATGAGGAAACCCTGAATTGTCGGATGAGACGTTAGACCTGATTCCCTCCGTCGCTCCCGGTCGGTGCCGTGTTCGGAAAGACTGTAAAGATCCCGGAGGGCTGTCGGGGAAAAGAGAAGGGAGTTTCCCCCTCTCGTTCTCTGTCTCCCTCCCTCTCTGCCCGGTGTCCTGGCCGACAGTCCCCCAGGTAAGTAGCTGGTCCTTCACCTCGGGGCTCTCTCCCTCTCTCTCTCTCCCTCCCTCCCTCTTTCTACAGAGCGAAAAAAAAGGTTTGACCTTGTCTACCTGTGGAGTGGGGAGAGGGGAGAGGGGAGGGGGGGGGGGGGGCGGAGTGGGTCAGGTTTAAATTTAGCCACTTCCTGAGGCCCAGCGATGAGCTGAGGGATTGGGATTTGGGGAGTCGTAATGTCAATAAGACGTGGAAGGAATTCGGCATTATATCCTGTGGCAGCCATTTCAGAAGGAAGTTTATTGAAAGCGCAAACATGTCAGGAATGTCGAGTATGCGGCTTAAGTACATAACAGGTCAGGGAGGGTTTGGCTGGAAATCAGCAGGAAGTGTTATTCTGCAATGGCAGCTGTGATCATTTCCACCCCCCGCCCCCCCCCCCCCCACACCTCACTCGGCCGCTCTCCGCCCCCCCCCCCCCCTCCCCGCTCCGAGTCTCTGATCCAAACTCCGAGACATTGCCTTATAAGGACGGGCTCCCTTTCTGCCATTCGCTGTGCCAGGTTGGGTCATACAGGAGCATAGGAACAGGAGGAGGCCATTCAGCCCCTTGAGCCTGTTCTGCCATTCTATTAGATCAGGGCTGATCTGTACCTGAACTCCAATCCCCCCCCCGGCCCCGTATCCCTTGATCCCCCGACCTCACGGCATATAAACACCTCAGACTTCACAATGTGAATGGATCCACTCACAATCCACAGCCCTTTTGAGGGCGAAAGTTCGAGATTTCCGCCGCCTTTTTGGGTGAAAAACTGCCCCTGATTTCACCTCTAAAGGCCTGGCTCTAATTTTAAGATGATGCCCCCCCCCCAACCCCGTTGTTCTGGATTCCCCCCCCCACCCCCACCAGAGGAAACAGTTCCTCTGTAGCCACCGCTATCGAACCGAACAACAACAACAACTTGCGTTTACACAGAGCCCCTCACGCGAGGTAGTGTCCCAGAGCGCTGGAGAGTCTGATCCCGAGCCGGGGGGAGGGAGGGGGGGGGGTTTAGACGGGGGGTGGGGGGGTAACCGGCTGACAGATGATCTAACACGGAGCACCGAGAGAGAAAGAGGGTGTGGGTGTGTGTGTGGGCGACACACAGCCTGATTGAGAAGAGAGAGAGAGAGGGAGAGGGATGAGCTGGGTTTCCCTGTGCGCTGGGGCCTGGGGTGGGGGAGAGGGGGTTTCAATGTGATGAGGATATGGAAAAACTCTGCCAGTTTTATTCCGATGACATCAACCAAACTTGCTTTCCCTCTCCAGCCCCCAACAGCCCCCCATCCACACACACCCCTCCGCTGTTTATTTGCACGTTACCAAAGCAACCAGTAATTTCTCCCTTGTAATTTCAGTAATTTCTTCTTCTTGACTGAATTCATCCCTAACTAATCTATTAAATTCACATGTTGCCCCCTCCTTGTGTGATAAGCCCCAACCCCCCCCCCCCACCCTCCCCCCACCTTCCACACACACACACACACACACACATACCCCGGACAAGTTTGTGAATAATAATAATCCTGGCATTTGATACAGCGCCTTATCACGTCTTAGAGACGTCTCAAAGCACTTTGCAGGATACACCGTAAAATGAGGTGACTGAGTATTTTGTGGGCGCAATAGGCTGCTGTGTTTCGCCCACAAAATATACAGTTACTACACTTTACAGTATATCCTGTGAAGCAGCTTGAGCCCCTCCCCAAACACACACAGCCCCTCACCAGCGCCTTGGGACGTCCTCCCCATGTGAAAGGCGCTGTAGGAATGTAATTTGTTGTTGTTGTTGGCGAGAAAGGGGTTAAAGGGAGCTTGCGTTACACTCATAGGAGGGGAGGGGGATTTGGGGGGAAGTGGGAGACTGGAGACCCCCTCCCCCACCTTATTACTCCTCCAACGGGAAACCACAGAGAAATTCCGAGACACACATTCCTTACGGAGAGAGGAGTTTCCGAGTCTGATTCTGGCTGGGAGCTGTGGGGGGGTGGGGGGGGGGGGCGATAGCTGAGACACAGCATTGTGCTTCACACCAGCATGTGTGTGTGTGTGTGTGGGGGGGGGGGGGGGGAGACATTCCTGAGTCAGATCCTCACACAATGTGCGTAAACCCTGGACTGTGTTAAACTGCGGGGAGGGGAGACAGATTAGAGAGAGAGAAGGGTTGGCCAACAATGTCCCAGATAGATTCGCTCATTCCCTTTACTTCACTTCATGGCTGTTAGTACAGAAAGCCTGGCTTCAGGGTGGGGTGGGAGGGGATAAAGGGAAATGAGCCCCTCCGACCAGCTCGTGCCCCGCACAACAAATGCCGAGGAATCCTCTCAAACTCTCACATCACCTCCTGAACCACAGTGAAGGCCACTGAATCAAACACAAGATTGGAGTCCTGTAGCTCAGTGGTCAGAGCCCTCGTCTCGCAAGTGAGAGGACCTGGGTTTGATTCCCGGGCTGGTCAGGGCGAAACATTGGGCAAGTTTCCTTACTCCACACACACACACAGACACACACACACGGCTCTGTTTGACCATCAGTAAGTAGGAACCTGGTTGTCAGTCAATTGGTGGATCGCTTTTCCAGGGATAATAATTCGGTCACTCAATCCACGACTGTTTGTGGGGAAGCTGCTGTGCGCAATTGGCTGCCGTGTTTCGCCCAGAAAACACACAGTCACTACACTGTATAGTGTATCCTGCAAAGTGCTTTGAGACGTCTCGACCACGTGATCAGGCGTTGGGTCAGAAGCGAGGATTATTATTATTATAAGATTATTATTTAGAGATTACTTCTATCCTGAAACAGAAAGCTCCCCTCTCCCTCCCCGCAGCCCTCCCCCTCGGGTTGGTGGGTCTCGGCAGACAGCTAAAGTCAGGGCCAGCGGGAGCTTTGATGTCTGAGAATGAAAAGCCGTCTCACAATGCGGATCCTGTTTCCTGGCCACAGTCAGTCAGGCCTGGGCTGGAATGTCTGGTATGTGTGAGCGAGCGAGAGAGAGAGAGAAAGAGAGAGAGAGAACTTCACATCTTACGCCCACAGCAACTGCCCTTCCATCCAAAACACCTCCACAGCCTTATCTCACACTCTCATTGCTTACCGGCTGTGTCTGTGGGTGTGTGTGTGTGTGAGAGAGAGAGAGAGAGAGCAAGAGCGAGCGAGCTTGGCCTTGCTGTGTGGATACACAAACTGCTCAGTTCTGGGAAATGTTTAAACCAGAAAGTTTCTGCGTATGCTGAGCTCAGCCACTCTCCAGACTCCGGGTAAAATTAGCCGGTCTCATTCACACCCGAACAACACTGCCATCCACACACGCACACGCACACACACGCACACAAACCATCCAATTCCTGTAGTGTAGTGGTTATCGCATTCGCTCGCAAGCGAGAGGACCCGGATTCCATTCCCAGTTTCCTTACTCCCCCCACACACAAACACACAGACGCACAGACACACACACACAGACGCACAGACACACAGACACACACACACAGACGCACACACACACACACGCACTCACACACACTGACCCGGCAGTTAGTGGGAACCCGTTGGTTAGTCGATTGGTGGATCGTTTTTTCCGGGGGTAATAATCCCTTCAAAAAATAATGATAATAATAATGTGGTCACTTCAATCCACGGCTGTTTGTGAGACGCTGCCGTGTGCAATTGGCTGCCGCGTTTCGTTCACAAATTATACAGTCACTACACTTTACAGTGTATCACGTCAAGTGCTTTGAGACGTCCGAGCAGCATGATAAGGCGCTGGGTCAAACGCGAGGATTATTATTATCATTAGCGAAGACCTGATGCCCAGATTGTGGGGTTAGTTGGGGGCAGTCAGTGAGCCCCGGAGCTGAGGGTTCGTCACCATCCTGACCCCACGGTCAGTGCTGGGGTGAGCGAGGAGGTCAGAGGTCAGAGGGTAGCCTGAGGGAGGTGGTTTATAGTAACATCTGGTTATTTATCACCTTTCAGGTCAAAATAAACCTTGTGAAGCGGCAATGTGAGCAAAGACCAAATAAGATGTGCGCCCAACAGCATTGACACAGAGAGAGCACCGTCTACAGTCTGACAATGACAACAGTCACTGCATTAGATACACCACATCCTGCCAAGCGCTTTGAGACGTCTCGGTGGTGTGATAAGGCGCTGTGTCAAATGCAAGTATTATTATTATTATTATTATACTGCTAAAATGTATATGACAGTCTACCCCAACCCCCACGTACCCAGACACACACATATACACACGCACACACACAAACATACAGACACACACACACATACACACACGCAATCATACACAGACACACACAAAGGTCAGAGTGTCTCAGACGTGCGAACAGCAGACGCTGGGGCAGATACAGGCCTGGAAGGGTACAGTGTGTGCTGAGCCAAGCCCCCGCCCTATTTATACCGTTCCCCCACCCCCCGAGCGAGAGGCCAGTCCAGAGCAGGACACAAATAGCTGCCTTTGAAGCCTCTGTTTTTCACTGTTTGGGAGGGTTTTGCTGAGGAGCCGCCGGGGATATAAAGCTCTCGCCCCACTCACTGTTTGCTCAGCTGTGACCCCGACCCCAGCCTCATCCCAGGCCGCACTCTGCGCTCCCCCCCACTCCCTCTCATGGGTGTATGTGCGCGCGTGTTTGTGTAAATGTATGTGTGTATACATGTCTGTGTGCATGTGTGTCTGTGTGTATGCGTGCGCGTGCGTATGAGTGCATGTGTGTGTGTGCGCATATGTATGTATGTGTGAGTGCATGTGCATGCGTGTGTGAGTACGTGTGTGTGTGTATATATCTATCTGGAAGCCCCCTCCCCCACCCCATGCGCTGCCCACATCCCCGGTGGCTGTTCAATGGCTGCAGTGTTGACGCTCTCACAAACTGGAACATTTGAGATCAAACCGTACAAAAAGTTGAGTAAATATTTTGAACGTTTATCCTCCCGGCCTCGCTCGCTCGCTCAGCGCCAGCACTGGTCACTTCCTGGCAGGCTGGGAGGAGGTGGTGGTGGGGTGGGGGAGAGAGAGCTGCCGACAGTCTCCCCACCCTCTCCCTCCAGGGCATTCGTCCTCAATCACAAACAGGTAACCTCTGCTCAGTCAGTCCACACAACATTCCTCTAGGAACAACCGCTGTAACCACAGGATGTTCTGTGGTGGCAGATTTTCTGCGACAGACGCAGTTCGAAATGCAAAATAATAACCCTTACATGTGTTACCGAGTCTCAAAGCATTTCAGTGCAGGAACAGGCAGACAGCACTGTTAAGTGTAGTGACTGTGTGTATTTTTTTGTGCCACGAGCAGCCATGAAGTGACCATTTTATTGGGGGGATTGACAGGCTAGTGTGATGTGAGCTGGTCGCCTCACGTGGTAATGAGCGCTAAATACGACATCTCCTCACTGGAATCTCAGCCTCTCCTCACTGGGACCGGGTTCCGATTTAGCAGTCGCTGTCAAAACAGCTGTCAGCTTAGCATCAGGTTTTTTTTTTGGTGCGTGCGCACGGGGTGGGGGGTTTGGGGGGTCTGACAGACGCGTGTGAAAACCCACCATCACCAGACGAGCATTCTCTGCCTCCCAGCCACACATGGAAATTTCCAAATAAATAAAAACGGTCACCCAATCCACGGCCGTTTGCGGGGACGCTGCTGTGCGCAATTGGCTGCTGCGTTTCACCCACAAAATACAGTCACTGCACATTACAGTGTATTCCGTGAAGCGCTTTCTCGAGAGAGAGAGACGTCGCGATGTGGAGTCCTGTAGCTCAGTGGTTAGAGCACTCGCTTTGCGAGCGAGAGACCTGAGTTCAATTCCAGGCAGAGGGTGAAACCTTGGGCAAGTTTCCTTACTCCACACAGAGCCTAATAATAATCCCTCCAAAACCAAAAACAATAATAAATTGGTCATTTTCAATCTACGACTGTTTGTGGGACATTGCTGTGCGCAATTGGCTGCCGCGTTCGCCCACAAATATACAGTCAATTCACTTTACAGTGTGTTCTGTGAAGCGCTTTGGGACGTCCTCTCCCGACGTGAACAGCGCTATATCAAATGCAAGGATTATTATTATTATCATCATCTGAGGAAGGCACAAACCTTGACCTCTCACTGCAGTGATTCTATGAACTGAGCAACTCAATTGCTGTCGCTCACTTGTACTCAATCTAGTGTTTAGTGGAACACTCCGAGACAAGTGTCTCACTCTCTCTCTCACACACACACACACACTCGCATACTCACACTCCCCCCGATGTAAAGCACACAGAGTTCCCAATTACTTTTCTAAACTTGGTTTATTAACGAACTCACCACCTTCAAATGTAACTACAGAGCAATGTACAAACACAAAATTAAAATCAATCCAAGGTTGTATAAAAGCTTTATTTTCCCCCCCTCCCACACAAATTTTTGAAGCAGTTTAAAACAATTGTTTAAAAAACAACAAGCATCGTGTTTCAACAAAAGGAATTTCCCCCATAGTGTACGGACAGGACAGTACGTCTGATGCACACAAAAAAAACACCATCGCCTCCCGTTCCACAGCACCACCTCCCCCTCTCTCTCTCCACACGTCCCAGCTCATCGGCTCTGTTCAACTGCAAGAGAATAGCAGACAATCAATCGAAGCCTTGCCCACACCTCACACAACATTGGCACCTCCATTACTCAGGCAATCGCACGGGCGCCACTGACACGATACAACAAGACAGGGACAATGTGCCTTCATGGGGTGAGAGAGGGGGGAGTGGGACTGATTGGATAACTCTTTCAAAGAGCTGGTACAGGCACAATGGGCCGAATGGCCTCCTTCTGTGCTGTGAGATTCTATGGTACTATGACCGGCCTCCGGGCAAACAATCTCAAACGCTTCACTCAAGGGGTGGGGTAGAAAAGAAAAGTTAAGAGGGAAATAGAGACTAGAGCAGATCACCCCCTGCTCCACACACACGATAATAATAATCCTGGCATTCGATGTAGCACCTCATCTCATCGTTGACATTTCAAAGCGCTTCACAGGATACACTGTAAGGTGTAGTGACTGTATATTTTGTGGCCGAGACACAGCAGCCAATTGCAAACAGTAAGCCTTGAACACAAAAAAAACCCGGAGAGAAACGGGAGCTAAACCCAAACGACAGAGCAAATCCCGTGAGATGCTTTGCGAGGGACGGGCAGAGGGCCGGACACAGAGACAGGTAGCAGCGATACTTACTGTACGTGGAAATGTCAATCTCATCCGGCAGCTCAGCCACATTCACTTCGAAGCGATCCTGCACATCATTCAGCACCTTGGCGTCCGTTTCGTCCGAGACGAAAGTGATGGCCAAACCCTTGGTACCAAAGCGACCGGCTCGAGCCACCTGAGGGGCGGACACACAGACTCCAGTAATAATAATCCTCGTATTTGAGACAGCGCTGTATATCGCGACGTCTCAAAGCGCTTCAGAGTAGAATTGACTGTATACTTTGTGGGCGTGCGCACAGCAGTCTCCCACAAACAAGTCACGGGTTGAGCGACCACATTTTCTGAAGGGATTATTACTCCCGAAAAGCAACGGTATTTGAGGTACTGTGCCTCCGGCGAGGAAGGAAGGAAGTCAAGCGAACTGCTTAATCGATTCCCAAAGGAGAGCAGACGTGAGGAGGCCATGGAAATTGAACGCACTTAACACACACAAACAGCCATCACAGGGATTGCATTCACTTTGCCACCAGAACCAGGGCGTGTATAAGCAAAGGACACCTTACCCTGTGCAAGTACGTGTCCGAGTCCTCAGGCATGTCGTAGTTGAACACGATGTTCACTCGCTCGATATCCATACCGCGGCCAAACAAGTTTGTGGCCACCAGGATACGCCTCTGGAAGTCCTTGAACTGCTGGTAACGAGACAACCTGGTGGGAGACAGGGACGTGAGCTGGAACGGCAGCGGCTCCCAGTGGTGGGTGTAGGTACCGCAACACCCACAGCACCACCAACGGCGGCTGCGGGTACTACAGCACTCGGTGGTAAACAGCGCCACCCAATGGTGGGAGCGGGTGCTGCAATACTCAATTTCCACCCAGTGGTGGAAATGGATACTGCAACACTCCCCAGCCACCATCTCACCCACCTCTCCTCCTGTGCCATGCCGCGGTGAATAGCAATCGCTGGGAAGTTCTGCTCCACCAGAAGCTGTGCCAGAGCCACACAACGCTGCACCGACTTCACGAAGATCACCACCTGGAAGACAGACAGACTTCACACCAGGGAACCAGCCATACATGGAAGTCCAGATCCAGGGCCTCAACCTCGAAAGACTCAAACCTGATCTAGAAGCAGCTTTATCTAAGCTGTGACTTTAGCTCCACACAACCACTGATGAGCTGTGACCACTGTCCCTCTCTGGGCACCTGTCTAAGTACATCTGTGCAGCAACACTGAACATAGATAGGGCAGGACCCATGTAAAGAGGCAGGAGATAATAATGATTCTTGCATTTGATATACCTCATCACGTCTTTGAAACATCTCAAAATGCGTCACAAGTTACACTGCAAAGTGTAGTGACTTTGTGGCCGGAATGCGGCAGCCAATTACGCACAGCAGTGTCCCACAAACAGTCGTGGATTGAGTGATCACATTATTTTTTTTTTAAAACTCATTCATTCATTTTGAAGGGATTATTACCCCTGGAAAAGTGAATCCACCAATTGACTGACAACTGGGTTCCTATTTACTGCTGGGTAAACAGGGGTGTGAAGTAGGGAAAGTTGTGCAAGGTTTCGTTCTGCCTGAGATAAGGTGGATTTAGGCACAAAGATGGGGCGAGACAAGAGTACGAGATTAGGGGCATCAGAACTGAAGCTTTCCCCAAGTCATTTTGCTCTGTTCAGAGCAAAGCTTTCTGTTCTGACAAACTTTTACCTGAACTTGTGAAGCCAGCGGCTTCCATTTGATGCCCGTGTGACAAACGCGGTCTCACCTGATTGAACTCCAGCACGTCAAGCAGATCAAACAGCTTGCGATTCTTCTCATTGTCTTTGAGCTTAACATAATATTGTTGTAATCCATGGAGTGTCAGCTTAGTCTCATCGTCAACAAACACCTCCATGGGCTAAACGAGAGAAAAATCAAAACGTGACATTTAAAGCATCTCCTCCAGGTGGTGTTGAGGCTCCAGTTACTCCTACACTGAAACTCTTACAGGAACCCTGACACTGAGAGACACATCTTCTAGCCAGATATTACAGCATTACAACACGCCCTGAGATCAAAGACCAAACTACTCAAAGCAACTGAGGCCACCACAGCACATTAACCCTTTAGCCACACATTCAGGACTGGAAATTGGCCAACTCTCTCTGAGTGCAATATCTAAGTCTACAAGTTTCCATTCAGATTCTCACACACTGCAAGCTGAAGACAGTGTGGGTCGAGTGGCGGTTGAGGGGACTCTGGTGTTTTGCAGGTGGTTAGTCCATCCTGCATGAAACACGGCAGTTCTATCCTTGGGAGGTTAACAGACAAGTGAGCTCAAACCAATAGATCTTTGTCATTTATTGCAAAGTGCACCAGTGTATCAGCTCTGCGGCTGTGCAGTACAGCAGCCAGACTAGATATAGAGATAACCAGCTCCAGGCAAACACAGGAACAGTTGCCATGACCTGATACAAGAGCCAGTAGCAACTGAGTTACTGGTCTAGGGACTAATTGCTCATCCCAATAACTACTTGCACAAAAANCACCAGGTGATTAACTAAGACTGGAAACCACTTACACCCTCTCATAGTTAGCTGATGAATGAACAGTTAGTGGATAAACTCCATCTCCCAATAAGATCTCAAACATTGTGAAAAAACTCAACCTTGTAATGCAGCAATATCTGGCTTCTTTCTGTAACTAGAAGAAACCCCAGCACAGGCAGGGGAAGCTCTGACGCTCTTAGTAACTGAAAAGTGAACACTAACACTGTACTGCCCAGGTCTTATTGGCTTCAAGCTCAACAGAACCGTGCAACTTTCTCCCAAATCACCTCCTTCTGAACCTCAACAAGCTTGCTTCTCTGGACAACCCATTAATAGTCTTGTCAATGTCTTCTCTCGCTTCCTCTCCGTCCTTTTGAGACAGACCAAGGACCCAGGACTCCCCAGGACATGAGGAGTTGGAGGTCCATTACCATCTTGTACCTCAGCACACAGTTCCGGTCTCTCCTTCTCTTGCTCTCCAACAAGCAAAGGCCAAGTTAGGAGGAAGCAGGGGATCCCAGAGCCCAACATGGACGGGGGCGCTCTGACGAACAGGCACACAGCTCACCACTCAGTGGAGCAGCATTCCTGTGAGCAGGCATTCCCTGACCCTCAGGTGAAGGGCGAGTTCTGGTACTGCACAGGGAAGGCTTCCTGCTCTCAAAGCAATCCTAACCTAATACAAACAGCCTTCGCATATCAAAGCCTTTCGTTCCCCTCTTCCCACACCTTCCCCCTCGTTTTGCTGACCTGACAATACAAATTCAGGTTATGTTTGATACTTGCAGCACAGAAACTGAGGTCAATATTCACTGAGCAGCTAACTCAATTCAGTTACAATTCAAATCTGGTTTTAGATCAACATGTCTTGCACCAAGTGTGCACAAAATGGATGACAATCTGGGCAGGCAGTGGAGGGTACCGACCAGCTCAGTGTGTCTGATTGGAAGGGGAAAGGGTGGAGAGGATAAAAAGGACAAGAAACAACTCCAGCCACAAGTATCAAACCAACCTAAATCCAAACCCCTGGGAATGACACCTGCAGAAGCTCCTTCAACACGTGGCAACACCCAGCAGCCAACAGGCCCAGGTATCTGAATCCAGCCACCGGTTACGCCAGTCTGCCACAGGCCAACACTGCGGTATTTACACTGCTGCATACAAACCATTCCACAACTTATACATGGAACTCTGTAAAGCTGGGTCTGAAGGCGAGTCCTCGGGCAGCAGGAGCCTCGACTGTTGCAGATCTTAACGGTCAGCAGCAGAGTGTAAACCAGTCCTTGGCAAAAACAGACTCTCACACTGCCAGCTTCGCTGCTGGAACGCCCGTGGCTTCTTCCGTCCGACGGTGGCACTAACACTAGGAGGGGCCCAGCGATGGGGAGGGGGGGCCTCGTCACCTCTGCTCTCCACCACCACCACGATCTCTTCCGCATAAACACAGCTACTGCCCTCTGCACAATCTCCCAAGGGAATGAATGGCTACCCGACTCCCTGCTGGAGGAATGCTCCTCAAGACTCCTGAGCTGGCTCATCTTCCAGGAAAACCAACTGACGGCTAATGGCAGATGGCCGGGGGATGGGGAGGAGGAGGGGCGGTGGCCCGGTCAGGTCCCACGCAAACGCAATGAATCCCAGCTATCTGCAACGCGAAACCGAGAATCTTCCGCATAGACGCCAGCTGACACTTGGGGGTAGGAATCACCGCAACTCTTCAGAACTCTCACGGATACAACCTCAACAGCTCCATCAACCCGAGGTGTGAACCCGAGCACGACCCGACCTTTGAGACCTCGGCATGCCCCCTCCATCCGTCACCGGGAATGATTTTAGGGAGGAAGGGGTTGGGGAAGGGTGGGGGGGGGGAAGAGGAGGAAGATGGTGGGAAAGGGCAAAACAAACCAGCCAGACCCATTTGACGTGATCTAACTACACTCATAGCCGGTGAAACACTGCAAATCTTGGGCGTATGGTTGGTATAAGTGGGTGTTGATGTGCTTCAGGAGGGGAAGGAGGGAGTATGTGCCATTCCGTTCCACTGCAGACTCTCTGGGCTCAGGAACAGAGGCACGGCTTTGATGGATGGATCATCAAAGCGGTGCGGGTATTGGTAAGAAAGGAGAATAATTACATCCTGCATGAACTTGCGGCAGACGGGACGAATCTCCTTGCTCAGGGTGGCGCTGAACATCATCACTTGCTTTTCGTGAGGCGTCAGACGGAATATATCCTGGACATCCCGACGCATATCTGTGAACAAACCACACACACAGGCTCAGTGTCATCACGTGCTCTGTCCAGACACAAGCTGGATAAGAGACGGACCAAAGCAAATGTAGACTAATAATAATTCTTGCATTTGATACAGTGCCTGATCACTCCATTGAGACATTTCAAAGCGCTTCACAAAATATACTGTAAAGTGCAGTGACTGTGTTTTGTGGGCACAGCAGTAACTTTTGAGGGTGAGACTTGTGTCTTGTGGTCGGGGTGAGGGAAAGAATAGTTTTTTCTTGCTCATCAGCCCTTATTGCCGTACTATCAATCCCAATTTTTCTCTTCCCGCCCCAGTGCTTTGAGACAATGACTGGATAAGGTGCTATATCAAATGCAAGGATTACTATTATTATAACCATCACCCCCAGGACTCCCCTCTCCCTGACGTGTCCTTCCCTCCCCCAGCCCACCACAGCCACTCACCGAGCTGTTCCAGCATCTTGTCGCACTCGTCCAGTACAAAGTGCTTGACGTGCTTGAGGTTGAGCGACTTGTTTCGCGTCAGGGCCAGGATCCTCCCCGGAGTCCCCACCACAATGTGGGGACAGTTCTTCTTCAGCACCTCCTCATCCTTCTTGATGGACAGGCCTCCGAAGAACACAGCCGCCTGTGGGGGAGAATGCACATCGTTTATAAACAACTTCTATGTCAATTCCCATCTCATACAGTAGTTAGGAGGTGTGTGCCCTGGTCACCCCTAATACAGGGCCAGGGTTCACCAGTCAGCTCGGCTGGCTCCGGCCTCCTGCTTGTCCCTTGTCCCCAACACCACTGGTGGCCGTGCCTTCAACCACTACGTCCTGAAATCCTCTCTCCCTCAATCCCTCTGCCTTGCCCCCTCCCTTCCCCACTTTCAAATCCCACCTAAAGATCTTCCTTTTTGATCGTGCTTGTGGTCACCCCCCCCCTCCCTGAAGGGTGCTATATAAATGCAAGTTACTGGTGGAAATTAGTTGTCAACAGTTTTGATAAAAAAAAGCCCGAATAGGGTTAGTCCCTTCATGTTCTGGAGCTAGAGAGGAGAGCAACCAGCTTTAAAAACAAAGACAAGGATTTTAAACTCGATCCTCTGTGAGGACGAGGGTGATCGGTTCACAGAACTTGGTGCGGGAGAGGACACGAGCTGCAGAGTTCTGAACGGCCCCATTACCTTGACGTTCGGCATGTACTTGGAGAATCTCTCGTATTCTTTGCTGATCTGGAAAGCCAGTTCTCTTGTGTGGCACATGACCAGGACAGATACCTGGGCAGAAGGGAAGAGGGGAATTTATCATTCAGTTGAGGTTGTAAAGTACAGATTATTCATGTACTGTATTCCTATTTCAAATTGTGCTAATTCTTTCCAATGTGAAGTGTGGTATACAAGTGTAATTTGTTGTTTTTGATTCAGAGAAGCACGGAGTGAAGGAAGCACATGTAATTCGAAAAAAAAAAGAAGCAACTTTGCATTGATGTTTTCAGGTAGATTTGAACAATTAAAAGGGTAATTGTATTTGTAAGAACCTCCATTTGAAAAGAAATTCAACAATGTTCCTGGGGGAATACCGATCGGCAGTGTGTGCCGCTGTGGAGAGCTCCTGAACCTACCTGGCCATCGACTGCTTCGAGCTGCTGGAGAGTAGCGAGGACAAACACAGCCGTCTTCCCCATTCCAGACTTGGCTTGACAGAGAATGTCCATCCCTAGAATGGCTTGGGGGATGCACTCGTGTTGAACTGTAGGGAAAGAAGGTTTGTACGTTAGAGAGGACCTTGGCTGCAACTAAACAGATCCCAACATGCCAAACTCATTCATTGGTCCAATTTCCCAACGGCCACCCTTCCCTCCTCCCAGCTCACTCTAAACAAGGACCATGAGATTAATAACAAAAACAGAAGTCGCTGGGAACACTCAGGAGGTCAGACGGAATCTATGGAGAATGGAAAATGAGTCAATGTTTCGGGTCCACGAACTTTCGTCAGATCCACGAGATTAATGTTGACCAGAGGCTAGGAAGAGGAAAAGAATCAGCTGCTCACCACCGATCACAATCCAGAGGAGACAGAATTGTGTTATATCTGTAATGTAATGACTGGTTTACCTTCTGAAGGATGCTCAAACCCGCAGTCCACAATCGCCCGCAGCAGCTCTGGCTTGAGCAGGAAATCTCTGAAGCCAGAGCTGTGGATGGAGACGTAGGAACCCTTCACATCTTTCTTAGTGGGAGCCTGTGCGGGCTCCGCTGCCGTCTGATTCTCATCATCCTCTTCGTAATCCAACAGCTCGTTCTCAACATCATTCTCTGCCATTGTGTCGTGTCTGAGAGAAACATCAAGTTACACAAAGTTCTCAAAGGTGTGCGGACCAGTCACCTGCAACCCAACCTATTTGGAATGTCTTCATTCCTTTTCATCGGGGGGGGGGGGGTTTGGACGGTGCTTTTGGGCTACATTTATAATAACAATCCTTGCATTCGTAAAGTGAATTGACTGTATATTATGGGGGGGGGGGGGCTTTCGGGCTAAATTTATGGTGGAGGGAGGGTGGCTTTAGGGCCACCTTTGGGGGGTACTCTTTGGGGCTACAAGGGTTGCGCGGGGACTTTGGAGCTAATTTATTCAGCGTCTTGCTACGTCCCCCTGACGTAAAAGTCCCTACACAAATGCAATCTGGTTGTTGTTGGGAAGGTTTGGGGGCCACATTTGGGGGGGGAGGGGCTGCGGCTATATGAGTGGTGGGGGGAGGGGAGGGGGGATCATTGGACTGCGAGTCTATTGTACCTTTTGTTACAAGGAGCCCGTCTTCCCCCTCAACCTGACCCCCTCCGCGCGACTTCACATCGACCACACACGGGGGCCGCGCGGGCGGGGGCGGGAGTGGAGGGCGGGAGGAGCCTCCGCACCGTAGGCCTTGGGCGGGAAAGAGGGGAAGGTGCGGGGGGGAGAGGGGAAGAGGAGGAGTTAGAGACTTCCCTCGCGGAGCGAGGCCTGTGTGTGTGTGTGAGGCCCCCCCCCCGGGGCCTGTGTGTGTGTGTGTGAGGCCCCCCACCCCGGGGCCTGTGTGAGGCCCCCCCCCCCCGGGGCCTGTGTGTGAGGCCCCCCCCCCGGGGCCTGTGTGTGTGTGAGGCCCCCCCCCCGGGGCCTGTGTGTGTGTGAGGCCCCCCCCCCCGGGGCCTGTGTGTGAGGCCCCCCCCCCCCCGGGGCCTGTGTGTGTGTGTGTGAGGCCCCCCCACGGGGCCTGTGTGTGTGTGAGGCCCCCCCCCCGGGGCCTGTGTGTGTGTGAGGCCCCCCCCGGGGCCTGTGTGTGTGAGTGTGTGTGTGGCGGTGACTAGGCCTCAGGCTTCACTCACTCGAGCGCCATCGCCAGCCTCGCGCCGTCGACGATGAGGAGATTGAGCCGCGGGGCCGCGGGAAGCCGCCCCCAGGCGGGGGTGGGGTGGGGGGTGGGGGACAGGCCCCTGACTGACAGACTGACCCTCTCTCGCTCCCTCTCGCCGCCGCGCTTTTTTTTTCCTCTCTCTCATTCACTCACTCACCCGCTGTCCGCTCCTCACCGCGCGCTGCTCTGTAATGGCCGCCGTTGCCGCCGCCTTTATCCCGCTCGCGGAAGTCCCGCCACCAGATCGCTCCTGATTGCACAGCTTACCCGTCACTCACAGCGTCCGCCGCCCGCCATTGGCTCCCGTGGCCGTCAATCGCGTCAATCTCCGCCCTCTCCTCCCCCCATTGGCCTTCGCAGCGCTTCCCAACCGATCAGCCCGCCCGTCATTCACAGCCTCCTCCGCCCCCCCATTGACTCGCCGCTCTCCCCACCCTCTCCTTCACCCTATTGGCTCCTGCGGCCATCAATCACCGCCATCTCACTTCACCATTGGCTTTAACGGCCATCAATCACCCCATCTCGTCCCTCATTGGCCAATCACCTCTGACTCGCCCGCAGTCACCTTCAATCAATGAACACAAGCAGCAGGAGGAGCGTGTAGGTGTCCTGGCGACCGGTGGGGGGCGCTGCGGCACACTGTCAGCCTGACGGGCTCACTCCCTCACTACTCCAGATGGGCAATTCCCAGCAGCACCTCCCTCCCTCCCTGCCTGTCAGCCTGTCAGTCAGTCAGGCTGTGGCTCAGCTGGAAGGGTGACCAAACACACAGTCACTACACTTTACATATACAAGCGCTCTGGCATGCTACCCTGCTATAAATGCAAGTTGTTTCTGTTGTTGTGGAGCGCTTTGAGATGTCTCAAAGATGTGATATCAAACGTGGATGATATTCAACATCCACCTGAACAGGCAGACAGGGCCTCGGTTTAACGTCCCAACAGGACAGCGCCTCCAACAATGGAACACCCCCCCAGCACTGTGTTGGAGCATCAGCTTAGACTGTGCAATTCCAAGTCCCAATGTGGGGGCTTGAACCCTCAACCTTCTAACTCAGAGGTGAGAGCGCTACTATTGAGACATTAATTTAAGAGGAAACTAGAAATGCACATGAGGGAGGAAGGAGTGGGTGGAAACTCATGTGGAGTATAAACATCGGCACGGACTGGTTGGGCCGAGTGGTCTGTTTCCATGCTGTACAAATCTATGTAAATGTAAATATTCAGCTCTATCAGGGAGCTGGCACACACCGTGACTGGAATTTAAGAATATAAATCTTTGACAGCTGAGTTGCATGTGTGAGATACATAAGAACATAAGAAATGCTTGGCGAAAAAAAGACAAGGTCCATCTAGTTCACCTTCCACCTTCCTGGTATGCACATATGTCCCGAACTACCTATGTAAATATATCCCTCTATGTGTTAGATAATAATAATAATCTTTGCATTTGTTACAGTCTTCGAGACGTCTCAAAGCGCTTCACAGGATACACTGTGGTGAATTGACTGTCTATTTTTGTGGGCAAAACACGGCAGCCAATTGCGCACGGCAGCGTCCCACAAGCAGTCATGGATTGAGTGACCGCATTATTATTATTTTTTTGAGGGATCATTAGTACTGGTAAAGCGATCTGCCAATCGACTATCAAGCTTACTGCTAGGTACCAGAAGCCTGTGCCGCCACTGTTAAGTGCCCAGAGACTCGACCTCGCGTGGAGGGCGCTATACAAGTGAAAGTTGTTGTTGCTGTGTGTGTGTAAGTGTAGGGAGTAGGGAAACTTGCCTAACAATAATAAATTGATCATTTTCAATCTACGACTGTTTGTGGGGACGCTGCTGCGCGCGATTGGCTGCCGCGTTCGCCCACAAATATACAGTCAATTCACTTTACAGTATATTCTGTGAAGCGCTTTGGGACGTCCTCCTGACGTGAAAAGCGCTATATCAAATGCACGGTTTATTATTATAAGGTTTCGCTCTGACGCACCCAGGAACCGAACCCGGGTCCTTTCGCTTGCGAGGCGAGGTGACGTGACGTCGGGGGCGTTGCCCCCGCCTCCCGCATTGCCCCGCCCCTCCCTCCCTCCGCCAAGCCCCGCCCCGCGTCTCACCTCGAGCGAGCGCCTTACGCGTGTGACGTCTGGCGCCGCGGTGACGTCAGGAGCGCCGCGCCCCACCCCTCCCACCCTCCCTCCCTCCCTCCCTGCGACGGACGTTACGTCACGTGGCACGGTCAGGCGGCGCGCTCGAGCCGCCGGCGGCAGGAAAACACAGAGAGAAGGGGAAGCTGTTCGCGGTGACAGGCGGACAGACAGACGGCTCTCCCACACCACGGCCGCCGCCGGGAGCCGAGCGCAGAGGAGTCTGAGGAGAAGAGAAGCTGTCGGAGAGGAGAGAGATTGAGAGAGCGCGGGTGTGAGGCGATGAGCCGCGCCGACTGACTGACTGACTGACTGACTAACGGTCGCCGAAGAGCCGCCCCCAACGGTCACCCACCGCTCGCGCCATGGCCGGCGAGTCCATTCAGGTGAGTGAGTGAGTGAGTGAATGTCACTGAGAGAGGCGGGGAACGGCGCTCGAGCAGTCGGAAGGCGGCCCGGGGCCGGGGAGGCGGGCGGCGGCCTCGAGGCAGGAGACGGGAGGGAAAAAAAGTTTGAAGTTTGGGCTCTGTCCCCGAGGGGGCGGATTGGAGTTTCTCAACCTAACGTGCTAGCCCGCCCGCCCCGCCCCGCCCCTGGGCTTGATGGACGGCGGCCGGCGGCCAATCAGGAGCGCGCGGTGACGCTCGCCGGCCAATGGGAGGCGCCCTGGCGTGGGGGCGGGACGAGCCGCCGGTAGCGGGTTCGGTTGCACAGGTCGGCCGGGTTTTTGGGTGTCATTTGCAAGTGAAAAAAATGGCTTTTGGGCGGGGGCCTGACTTCCTGCATAACTTTTGTGTAAACCTCTCTCCGCCTCTTTGAGGACCTTTTAATAATAATAATGCTACTACTACTACTACTAATAATAATCCTGGCGTTTGATGTAGCAATCTCAATGATCACATCGTTGAGACACGTCCCAAAGCGCTTCGCAGGATACAGTGTAAAGCGCAGTGACTGTGTATGTCAGAAGCCCTGACCTCAATAGTCCACGTTGCTGCTGCCCGTCTACAGCAACAACTTGCATTTTACGTAGCGCCCTTCGAGTGGGGTAGCGTCCCCGGAGCACATTATAATGCGCCGTAGCTAGTGTTAAGAGTGGCTTTGGGCTTCAAACCTATTTTAATTTCTGGCACCTCTGCGGGTTCCCTGATTGCCCGTGGTGGGGAGGGATATGTGTGTTAGGGTGACCATGTTTTGCAAAGCAAATCCGGGGAGATGCAACAAAGAAAAACCTCACCGCATTTCCTGATGCTGGCGGTTTCTGGAGAAGCAGTGTTGGATTAGTCAGTTCACTTCAGTTTAGCCGCTGTCAACACTGTCAAACTGAAAGCCAATTCACTTTACAGCACATTCTGTGAAGCGCTTTGAGATGTCCAGAAGACGTGAAAAGTGCTATATCAAATGCAAGGATTATTATTATTATATTATTAGCGGCTGAGTGTATCTGTTTTAGAATTTTATAGCTCTCGCTCAGTTTGTTGCTGAATTCAAGACCTGACAAACTTGGCCCCAGGATCACAGTACCTCATTCGGGGACTGTCCACAGGATGTATGGTCACCCCAGTGTAAGAGCAATGTTAAGTGGGTAGGGTTCAGCTAGTCACTGGGAAATTGTTCAGTGCAGTGAAAAGGAGGGGAAGGGGGCTGGGGATGGATGAGAGCCACCGATTGCCCCTCTAAAACTTTTGCCTCACTCCCTCCCATGCCTCCTTCAGGGCACGCCTCAAAACCCTCCGCTTCGACCGTGCTTTCGGCCACCCTCCCTGCCTCCTACCCTCCTTGACCCAGTCCCCTCCCCCTCTTGGGTCCTAATCCCTCACTGTTCAGCGCCTTGGGACATCCTCCCAATGTGAAAGGCACCTTGCAAATGTAATATTGTATTGATGCTGGAAGCTTCACCGAAAGTTAAGCAGCTAACACAGTGCAAGGAGCATCCAAGCAAAACTGCACGACAAATGTGCCAAGATCACGCCTCGGTTTATCGCACAGCTTATTATGAGATTTGTTAAATTATAGGGTTTCAGTTGGAACAATTCCAAAGCACTTGTTGAAGGAGCAAGCCAGATGTTTTCTAAAATCGCTCTTTAAAATGTGGGCTGGGACACTCCCTGTTGACAGAGGGCTAACCTTTTTGTCACGTAGGGGACTATAAAGTTTCCAGGAACAGTTTTTATTGGATGTAATTTTGTATTGTATTGAATCTGAATGAGTTTACCAATATTGATCAACAGCTGACAAACTTTTTTTTGTAAAACAATTCCTGCGATTTGAGACTGTTTGCAAAACTAATCCTGCTAAAAAATATTCCTGCAATACCTTTCTTTAAACATGAAATGATTACTCTCCTTATTTCAACATCGTTTGTGCCCTTTTTTAAAATGAGATATCTTAACTATTAAGTGCCTCTGACATCATAGAATATTTCGGTGGGAGTGGTTTATTACCTGGTATAAAAATGTAGACAGCTGAATGCCTTTGATAGTGTAGTTTCATTGTTGCTGAAAGTACTGCGCAGAATATGTAAAAAATAAAATGATTGGCTACAGTGACTGATCCAGTGTCTGTTTTTGTTACTGCTATATGTTGCCTGTCAAACATGATTAGGCAGCAGGCAGGTGGAAAGGCAGAGCTGGAGTCTGTTCGCCTTTCTGTTCAAAATGGTGGAACTGATGGGGTTGCAAAAATACAGCCCTCTTTTAAATAATAATCCTTGCATTTGGTACTGCACCTTATCACATCAACGAGATGTTTCAAAGCGCTTCACATGATACACTGTAAAATGGATTGACTATGTAGTTTGTGGGTGCAATTTGCATTTGTTTAGTTTGTTTTGAATCTGAATGGGTTAGTTTTAGAGAGGCACTATTAGTGGTTGTACTTAGTTGCCAAGTGTGAACTGAAGGGGTGAGATTATTAACTCAGTCTTGTTTTACTGATGCTTTATTATTCACCTCCTGGTCAGATTCTCTGATCGTTGCTCATTGATTATGTGAATTCATGTGGAAGGAGGCTGTTTGAACAGTGACTCATATTGATCACTGCTGGAAATCTAATATGCACCAAGATTCATGTGTACAATTGAGAACTCAATCCTTTTTTAACAGAATACTTTAGAAGTTAATACAGTACTCTTAGTAATGCCAGTTTATGATTATAAAACTTATTATTTAGCTCACAAAATACACAGTCAATTCACTTTACAATCTATTTAGCATGATAAGATGCTCTATCAAATGCGAGTATTATTATCATTACTATAAATAGCTAGTAGAGACTAAGAGTTAAATTTAGTAATACTATATGCAATCTTTTAAAATTATAATTAACCACTTATGTTGGCATGTTCACGGGTTCTCTGTTGCTCAAGTGGAGGGATGTCTATGCCCAAGTCGGCAAAATACCTGAGCCAGGATTCCGAGTCCCAGTAGATGATTAGATTGTGAGGACATCAGAGTCAAGCCTATGCCTGTGCTTATCCATTATCTACATTGGTACACTTCCAGTAGTGATCCCTGGATATTGTGAATTGTGTTTACTTTTTCCATCTTCCACTCACCCTCCAGACTAGCATAGTGTAGTTAACCCAAGCCAGCAGGATTAGCAATGTGACACAAACCAGGAATCAAATGGCCTCGATTGCTTAGTATCATTTGCGTCAATTTACAAACACCTAATTATCCAGATTTGTTGATTGCTAAAGGAGCGTTTTGAAAATTTATTGCCTTTGGTAAAGGTGCATCTTTATGTGTTTGTTTTCATTCTAATTTTATTTAAACTTCAGAGTTAAGTAAGGGTTAATACAGCTCTCCAATGTCCTTTTTTTAAACTGAAAAGCTTAATTTGTGACTTCCTACTTTATATGAATTCTGACTTCCTCTTAGTTCAGTCCTGCAATGTTGAAATGCTGCCTTAATGTCCTCCGGGGTTATCAATCGTCCGTAAGTCTTGTAAATCTTAGCTAAATGTTAAATTGTGGCTGCTTCATGCTTTGTAGAAATGATTATGAACCTGTTGCATTTTACCTGAAAGGCCTTTAACGTTGGAGTCATGCTGTGTTAGTCTTTGACCTTCTGTAGCTGTGTTGATCACAATGATCAAAGCTGTTATTTTCCTTTAAACAGTGTAGATCAGCTTCATAAGAACAGAAAACGCTAATGATGTGAATTTTTGTGACAGTTTTGTGTTTAATTATTCCTTTAGAGATTAATGAACACATCAAGCTGAATTGCTGCATTTGAGATGAATTTACTAGAAGTTTTTAAGAAGAATGCAGAATGGTACTTAATGAAGTCTTTCGAATATTAGTGTCTTATTCTCCTATAGCTTTGGGGGTGCTGTCCTTTGGATGAGGCGATAAATTCCCATGGCACTGTTCAAAAAGAGAATTTTCCCAGTGTCCAAGGACCATTTGTCCACTGCGTTTGTGCTGATCTCTGAAAGCCATAACTTCAGTCCAATTCTCCTGCCCTTTTCTCCTGTTCAGATATTTGCATTCAGAGCTATTTTCTCTTAAGAACTAATATTGATTCTACCTTAACCGCAGGTTACGGGGCATTCCAGGTCCTAATAACCCACTGCATTAAAAAAAAATAACTTCTCCCTTTGCTGGTTTGGTAATTCCCTTCCCTTTAGTTCCTGACTCACTGGCCACTGGGAATCATTTCTCCCTCTTTATTTTATCAAACCACAGCAGCAGCAACAAAATTACATTTGTAAAGCACCTTTACAAGGCGCTGGACAGCCAGAGTTATGGACCCAAGCTGGGGTTTGGGGTCACAAAAAAATTGTACAAATGTCAATTAGGTCTTCTTTCATCTGTTCTCAGTGAAACAGTCCAGTTTCTCCTCCAAGGTAAGGCTTATCACTTATTCTAGGGAATCTCTGCTCCCTTTCTGTGATCTTGCTGTCCTTCCAATAATAAGGTGTTCAATACTCCCAATGGTGGCGTAGCTAATCATTTGTACAGGTTTAGCATTACTCCTTTGCGTTCAGATTCTATGGCCCTGTTTATCCCATGTCATTATTTGAATAGAAGGGAGTTTCTCTCCAGATACTACCAAGTCACTACAAGATACAGCACAATGGTCCAGAAGTGACTTTTATTGGTTTATGTTTATGTGAAGTGAGTGGTCTTTGTTTAAACTCTCTGAGATGCTACCTTATGTGAAGGGCGATATATTAATGTATATAAATGCGACTTGTTGTTAGCATGACCCCATGGGTGGCAGTTTGAATGTAAATGGTTTTATGTAAGGGGTACTACATTCCAGCCAGCAGTATATTTTAAATCCTTTGCTCTATACGAACTCTTGTGAAATTACCTTTGGGCACTGATCTGTTGTTACTTTCTGATCGGTATTCTGTGAGTCATATAGAATTGATCGTG